CCTCGTTGCATTAGTGCAAGATGAGGTTCAACAATTTGTTCAAGGTTTTGCAGCTAGTTAGTGGCAGAATTGTTCTAGAACTCAGGGTTGACTACTCCCAGAATCTTCTAATATTGATGTAGAAACTCTTCCATGAAGATGGAAACGTCGGGCCCAGAATCTAAGAATCTAAACAGAAAGCCTTTTACTCTAGCCGTTTATTTATGCACATTCTATTAATTTTTAATGTCAATGGCTGGGTGACTGGATAACCTAATAACCTTCAGTGGTGAGCCAGGGTGCCCTCCAGGGAACTGCATCATTCTCTGTCCTTAGAGATACCCATTGTATAAGGTACCAGGCTGCAGCTGCAGCCAGTTAGTTCTGTTGGAAAAAGTGTGGGAATGGAGAGTCCAAGGTCATTGGTTGATCCTGGTTCAGGCCAGTTAATTTTGTACAGAGATAAATTGGTCCAAGGCCACACATTGCACCTCTAATGCTAGCTGGTCATTTTATAAATAGTTACTACTGATTTCAATGGCAAAGTACTGTCCATTTCCAGAAAGATTCCTCAAACTGCTATTTTCTAATCAGTCCTATTCATTCAACAAATAATTATCGAAACCTGTTACCATGTTTCCTTCCATATATCTTACATTTACTTATTTTCTAGATACTTAATGCTAATTGCTTTATATGTATTATTTCTTTCAAGTCTTACACCATTAGAAGCTAAGTGCTCTTATTGACCCATTTTGTAGATGAAGTGACTAAGACACAGAGACCAAGCCTAGATACAAACCTCTGCAGTCTGCCCTCTTACCCATGGAATTTATTAAAGATACAGAAAGACATAAACCAAAACTCTCCTCCACATTTTTGATAATTATCATCATTTAGAATCTCCATTCCATTTGACCTAGCAATTTTATGTACAAGTATATGCCCTACACAAAGTCATCTGGAGATACATATGGAGTATATGTGTGTACATGAAGTGTAACATTGTTCATAATGGCGAAAATAGGAAATCGTACTCCTGCTCATCAACAAAGGCTTGAACAGATATATATTGGTATATCCATATAGTCTTATACTATGTAGCTGTTAAAAAAGAAGGGGACATATCTCTATATGAAAAATACTAAATATTTTAAATAGAAAAAGGTACAGAGCAGTCTGTATAGTATACTCTCATTTCCATAAATAAAAATTATATGTGTTTATTACATGAAAAAAGTCTAGAAGACTACATTCCAAACTATAAACCACAGTTCCCTTAGGGCAGAGAAGGGAAGGCTATAACAGGGGATCTCACTTTCTAAGAGATGTATTTCTGTAACATTTAATTTTTTTGCAATAAATATGCATACATTTAGTTATGAGAAAAGAACAATAATGATTTAAATTTTTAATAAAACATATAAAAGCTCTATGAGAAAGCATATTGCAGCCCTCCCTTGAGGCCATCATTTAATAAGGAGGGAATATAACATATACAGAAATAACTATCATAAAAGCCATGATACATGCAGAGAGAAGAGAAAAGATAAAATTCCATGGGAAATCACAACAAGCTGGGGTTGAAAGGTGCAGAAGAAAATGTATGAAGGGGATGGCACTTTGGAAGGACCTTAAAGGAATGGTAAGATAAGGAGATCGAGAAGGGGGTGAGAATAGGTGGATTGTCCAAAGCAGAGAGGCAGGAATCCATTCAAGTAAGTGTGACTGGTCCAGTTAAGCATGTTCCCCATGGATTTTAACAGGGAACAAAACAAGGAAACAGGTAGCTGGTGTTTCTTGGTTGCTAAGCTAATAAATTGTACTTATTATTTTAGGCATCAAGAGCCAATGAAGGTTTTGAGCAAGGAAGTGACACGTTTAGAAGTGATTAAGCAGTTTCGTAGTGACTGCATAGAAACTGGACTCTAGCGCCAAGTTGCCAGGATTTGACTCCTAACTCTATCACTAATTATTTGTATAGCTGTGGACACGTTACTTTACTTCTTTCTCTGTTTCTATAAAACAGGTAAGGTGGTGATAACAGGTAACCTATCTCATACCATTGTTGTTGAGATTGAGTGAGTTAATGTTTTTAGGGCGCATGGTAAGTACAGTGAATGTCTGTTAAATTTAAAGAATCAGTATCATATCATACCCTTGCAGTAAAATCTTTGAATTTCATTTGACATTTTACTTACAGAGAGCTAACATTAGGTGATAAATTATTAACTATTCTTCCCGCTTTCACAGGATTATAGATCCTTTTTTTTTTTCCTTATGGATTATAGATTCTTAAACTCTTTTTACACATGAAACAATTTAGGTTTAAAGGAGAGAGATACAATCTCAGAATCACATAGCTAGTCATGAGTTGAATCCATGAGTTCTGAATCCTGGTTCAGTGATCTCTGTTTAACACTCAGGGTTCTCTCTTAACTCAAATTCTCGGAGCCTTAAGAATAAAAAATATGGGGAGTGAAAGAAACTTTGGCAATTTTGTTTATAGGGCAAGGAAAACAGAAGTACAGGACAGCAATAAAGTAAAATCAAAAAAGATAAAAATTTGGTGGAACACCTGGAAGTTTATATACAAAACTTGTAAAATATAAATTGTGTGTATGTGTGTGCATGCGCACGCGCGCGCACGCGCACACACACACACACACACACAATGAATTATGCCCCTCCCTTCCAAAATCATGCTACAGACCTAACTGGCAATGAGACTGCATTTGAAGATAGAGCTTTTAGGAGGTAATTAAGGTTAAATGAGATCATAAGGGTGGGGTTCTAATCTAATAGGATTGGTGGCCTTATGAGAGGAAAAGATCTCCCCCTCTCTCCACAGTTACGGAGGAAAGGCTATGTGAACTATACAGCAAGGAGGCAGACATCTGCAAGACAAGAAGAGCACTCTCACTGCAATCCAACCATGCTGGCAACCTGATCTTAGACTTCCAGCCTCCAGAACTGTGACAAAATAAATTTGTCGTTTAAGCCAGCCATTCTGCAGTATTGTTATTTTTTATTTTTTATTCTTTTTATAGTATTTTTGATACACATACACACACATACATATATACATATATTATATAAACATGCCAAAATTATTTTCTAGCAACAAAGTTTGGAAAACACTACTATCCTGCTAAATCTGATACTAATATAAACCTCAAAACTGAGTGCACAGCCTGTCTCCAGAAATAACAATCTGCTGGCTAAATGCACCATCCCTATTGATTCATGCTGATGGCACTGTTTTTCCATCATTTTGAATAAGTACAGTGCACTGATAGGATTCCAGCATCGCCAGTGATGCCCTGTGGTTATTTGGGAAAAGCTGGGCCTGTGGAATCAGAGAGAGAATGAATAGATACCTTAGCTTTGAATCCATGACCATGTTTTAGTAGTATAGTTAACTTTATTTTTTTGCTTAGACTAGTCACATAATTCATTTCCTCGGCTCTGAGCCTACATGGGCACTACTATTAGTAAATACTTATGGGTGAACATAGTCAAAGTTGTTAGCTGGAATAAACTCCATCCAGTTTATTCCAAGAGATGCCTATGGTAGTCAGTGAAGTGGGTTAACCTTTACATCAGTGGTTCTCAACACAAGCTGATTATTACAAAACCAAAAAAAGCAGAAATGATATTTGGAAAGATAGATTTACATCTTTCTATTATTTTGCCAATAGAAAAAACATGCACACAGTACAAAGTTCAAAAGGTACAAAAGAGTAAGAACAAACAAATATTTATTCCACTCATGTCTCCCAAACACTGTTTTCTTCCCCAGAGATAATCAATTTGTAAGTATGTGTGTTTAATAATAAAAATATTTAGTTTTCAAGAATATAACTTAAAATGCAATTATCTGAGTGCTAGCTTACAGGTGATTTTTAAAAGTCTTTTTTATTTCTGAATTATCCAAGTAGCCTTCAATAAGCATGTATTATTTTATGATCAGAGGAAAAACTGTTAGTTTTACAAGCAAATAGTTTTTAATTTAAAAGTACCTCAGAGATCTCATAGCTGCTTTGTGATTAAGAAAAAAAAAATCACCATAAACCTAGCTTTATCCTCAAATTAAAAATACCTGTCAGTCTGTGGATCCATTTGTTTAAAAAATTTTAGCCAATTTTGTATCCATTCATGTTAAAACTCCTGCCACTGGAAAAGATATACAAAACCTGACTAGCAGCTTAAATGAACCCTGAGACCTAGTGAAACTCAGTATGAGTCACTGGAGACAAGTAATTTGCTCAGGAATCTTCTTTCAAATTTCATCATAATTTGTATAATGACTCCACATATCTTTCAAACTATGTTCAAACTAAGTGTAACATGAGGCTGGAGAATTAAACCCAGTCCAGCTTAACTCCTTCATTTAGTAATTAGACTATAAAAAGCTAAATTTATCCTTACACCTAAGACTTACTGATCCTGTGAATGTTCTAATTGGATAAATAGCCAAATGCACCCTCAAGCATCTGATGTCGGAAGATGTCACAGTCCTGACTTGCTGAAAAGACATATACAAGAACATGACCCTTATCTACAGATTACCCTTCTGGCAACTTCAGTCTCTGGACTAGAACTCCAAATGCAGACGGTGAGAGGGGAAAGGCCTCTGAGTAGCCAAATTCCCTAAATTAAGAAGAGCTTTTCTTAGGCTTGCTTCTGATTGAATATCTACTTTCCAAAGGTCCAATTATGTGGTTTCCTAGCCCTCAGCAGGTTAGAAACAGCAGGAGAATGGAAAAACTATTGGAGATGGAGGAAGGGAGGGGATAGGAGGGAAAATTACTTTCTTCAGTTCATTCCTGTATTCTTAAATGGATTAGCTGACAACAAAGAAAGGGAAAGACCTCCCAGAGGTCAAGACAGTCTTCATCATTCCTGGTGATGACTTTTGGGAGTAGGAAGAAGTGATTGAACTGTGATCAGTGCTTTTATTTTAGGTGGAAAATGTTCATGTGGTTTACTGGTAGGAGTAGAGGCCTCTGGGGAGGAGATCACCTCTGAGGTAGTAAGAGGAGCCTTAGGATTCACTCACCCTCTTTTATATTTTTTAAATATTATATTTATACATTATGTATATTTTGCTTAATAATAAAAAGTTTTTCATTATTTTAAACAACTTTACAAATGAAGTCTGTGAAAACTGTTTAAATTAAAAATATTGAAGACCTGAAATCATAAAACTCCTAGAAGAAAACATAGTGGGTAAGCCCCTTGACATTGGTCTTGAGAATGATTTTTTGGATTTGACACCAAATGGAAAGTCAACAAAAGCACAAATAAACTAGTGGGAGTACATCAAACTAAAAAGCTTTTGCACAGCAAAGGAAACAGTCAACGAAATGAAAAGGCAACCTATTGAATGGGAGAAACTACTTTCAAATCATATATCTGATAAGGGATTCATATCTAAACTATGTATAGAATTCATGTAACTCAATAACAAAAAAACAAACAATCTGATTTAAAAAATGGTCAGAGAAATTGAAAAGAAATTTTTCCAAAGAAAACATACAAATGGTCAACAGGTATATGAAAAGATACTCAACATTCCTAATCATCAGGGAAGTGCAAATTAAAACCATAATGAGATATCACCTCACATCTGTTAGAGTGGCCGTTATCAAAAAGACAAGAGATAAGTGTAGGTGAGAATGTGGAGAAAAGGGAACTTTTGTGCTCTGTTGGTGGGAATGTAAAATGGTGCAGCCACTATGGAAAACAGTAAGGAGTTTCCTCAGAACTACCATATTATCCAGCAATTCCACTTCTGGGTATATATCTGAAGGAAACAAAATTATTATCTCAAAGAGAATATCTGCATCTGCATGTTCATTACAGCATTATTCATAATAGCCAAGACATGGAAATAACCTAGGTGTTCATCAGTGGATGAAGAAAATGTGGTATGTGTATATACAGTGAAATATTATTCAGCCATAAAAAGGAAATCTTGCCAGTTTTGACAACATGGGTGGACCTTGAGGGCATTATGATAAGTGAAATAAGTCACTGTATGACCTCATTTATGTGTGGGAATAAATTTGTGACAACATGGATGGAACTTGAGGGCCTTATGCTAAGTGAGGTAAGTCAGACAGAGAAAGTCAAATACTGTATGATCTCACTTATATGTAGAATCTTAAAAAAAAAAAATAGAAACAAGACAAAGTGGTGGTTGCCAGATGCAGAAGGTGGGGGTGGGTAAAATGGATGAAGGTGGTCAAAAGGTACAAAAGTCCAGTTATAATATACATAAGTTCTTTGAGTGTAATGTACAGTATGGTAACTATAGCTAACAATACTGTATTGTATATTTGAAAGTTGCTAGGAGAGTAGATCTTAACAGTTCTCCTCACAGGAAAAAATCTATAACTGTGTGAGATGACGAATGTTAACTTATTGTGATAATTTTATAACATATACATGTATAAAATAGTTATTTTATACATCTTAAATTAATAAAATGTTATATGTCCATAAAAATGGGGGAAAAAAATCAAAAGATAAAAAGAAATATTGTACCACAATGAGAAAAACCACAATGAGATATCACTACACACCTATCAGAATGGCTAAAATAAAAAATAATGACAATGTCATATGTGGGTAAGGATAAAGAGAAGTGGATCATGGTACATTGCTGTTGGAAATGTAAGATGGTACAGCTCCTCTGGAAAACAGTTTGACAGTGTTTCTTAAAAAACTAAACATGCAACTATCGTAAGACCCAGCAATTATACTGTGGGCATTTATCCCAGAAAAAATGAAGACTTAAATTCACACAAATATGTGTACATGAATGTTTGTTACAGCTTTATTGATAATAGCTAAAACTTGATACAACCTAGATGTCCTTCAACTGGTGAACAATTAAATAAACTGTAGTGGATCCATACCATGTAATACTATTCGGCAATAGAAAGGAATGAACTATCGATACACACAACTGGGATGACTATCCAGAGAATTATGCTGAGTGAAAAAAAAAAAGCCAGTCCCAAAGGTTATGTACAGTATGATTGATTCCATTTATATAACATTCTTGAAATGACAAAATTATAGAAATTTTGAGAAATTATGAGAACAGCTGAGTAATTTCCAAGAGTTAAGAAGGGCGTTGTGTAACAGGGGAGTGTAGGTGGCTGTACAAGGGCCACACATGACCCTCCTGCTGATGGAAATTTTCTGTCTCTTGGCTATGTCAGTGTCAATATCGTGGTTGTGATATTGTACTATGGTTTACAAGATGCCACTGTTGTGGGGAACTGGGTAAAGGGTGCACAGGATCTCTCTGAATTATTTCTTACAGCTGCATGTGAATTTATAATTATCTCAAAATAAAGGTTTAATTAAAGAAAAAAAATAAAGCTTAAATAGATGTTATCTATTTTTAAAAATCACTTGTGGTGAGACATACCCCTCCTGACCCTAGATTAACTACGGCATCACTACCTACAAACCCAACACACTGGTTAAGCAGTTTCACACATTGGCTGGCAATACTTAAATTGTGGTGAACTAACATTTTTAATTTCTGATAGGAAGAGCAGTGCCTCATTTTTCTCCTACCTCAACTGCTACAATCCCTATTATATAGCTTTCCCACATCCATTTCCTCTGCCATTTGAGCATATGGTTGCTTCCATCCATTTTTCTGCCTTCCTTAAAAAGAAAGTTTTTAATACTTGGAGAAACTCCACCAGAACCTCAGCTGGTATGTGAGAAAGTCACTTTCCTATGACAGGGTACACATCAGAGTTGGTTAGATCATTTCAATTAGTTACCATAAAACCCTGCTGTGGCTCCCTTGTATTCAGAAGGTGACGAGCATGCATTACAGTAGAAGTCCGTTAGAATGCATCTCATAATTATATGTTACTGAGTACACCATGAGTCAAATCACAGCCACTGAAATGTAACTGCATATTCTTGAAATAGTTCAGCTGTGAGGTCTAGGGGCTGATTTATTTCTGG